TGGTCAATTGTTCAACCAATCAAAACATGATATGCTAATGATATGCTTGCTATGATGTGCACTGACCACCAGGGGGAAGATGCTCCAACAAGTAGGTTAGCTTGTTGCTGGGGTCTGGCCAGGACTGGGAAAGATGGGCCAGGCATGCCCTGGAGCCCTCCCGTGGTCTCTCCCAGCTGGCCAACCTTCTGCATTTCTCCTTGGCCTCAATTGTGCACCGGTGGGATCCCTCTGCATGGCCTGTGCCCTCCTGCAATCCAGGATCTTTTGGGAGATGTTGAAGAGCCAGTTTCGGCCTGATCCCACAGGTCAGGCCCAGGGACTCCACTGGTGTACAAATTCATGCACCGGGCCTCTAGTATTAATATAATAATTAATGTAATAATTTCAAACATTGTAACAAATCTTTTTTAGACCATTGCCATAGACTTCTTGTTTGTATCCACTCAAATTCATATGTTGAAATCCTATCCCTAATGTGATGGTTTTAGGAGGTGAAGCCTTAGAGAGGTAATTAGGTCATGAGATTAGAGCCCCCATGAGTATTTTTGCCCTCAGGAAAGGGATCCCAGAGAGCTCACTCACCCTCTTTCCATTACCTGAGAATATAACCGGAACTCAGCAATCTGCAGCCCAGAAGAGTGCCTTCACCATGACTGAGCTGATCTTGGATTTCCAGCTTCCACAACTGTGAGGAATAAGTTTCTGTTGTCACTAAGGCACCCAGTTTATCGTACTTTGTCATAGCAGCCCAGACTCAGTAAGACAGCCATATTCCCTTCTTCTTGCTCTGGAACACGTGAGGAACCTTGCTGGGCCCAACCACTGTCCAGAGTTGACCAAATGAGAAGCCACTGATTGCAAATCAATTCCTGGAATTCAGAGCGTCTGCCCTTGAGTCTTATTAATGGACACGAAAAACAGATACTCACTGGGAATTGCAAGTATTTGGGAGGGAATTGGGAGGCTGAGGGAGTAATTTGTATATTTGGGGAATGCAGATTCCATAGTGTACTATTAAGGTTCCTGATGTCACTTCCAAACTTTGGATTCCAAATGTTGCTCAATTGATGTTTCAGAGCCTGTGAAGACTCAGCACTTGATTCATGTCAGAGATTTCCTTGGGATTACTCTTTTTAAGAAAAGAAAAACACAAAACTTTTTTTACTTGACTTCAAAGAAGAAGGGAGAGGGAGAGACAGAAACATCAGTAATGAGAATCATTGATTGACTGCCTCCTGCACACCCCACATAGGAGATTGAGCTCGCAACCTGGCTATGTTCCCTGACTGGAAATCACACTGAGACCTCCTGGTTTATAGGCTGACACTCAACTAGTGAGTTTCTACAGCCAGGCCTTGGGGTCACTCTTATGATCACCTTCCTATTTGGGGGCTTGCAGAGATGTTTTCAAGTTTCTGAGTCAATGTTGAATTTCTTATCCAAATCAGTGTGAAGTTTTGATTTGAATTTTTTTTAACTGGGCACAGAATCTTGTGATGGACCTCTCTCCCGAATGCCTGTCACCAATCACGTGGCCTGGTCAACCTTGGTTTCAAGGCCTCTGAATACCCAGCCCTATGCCTGGGAAAACTTTCCTCACCATACCCTAAAGTTGCCCTTGGGGGATCCTATATCTCTTGAATGATCTGAAAACAATTCTTAAACTTCTCATTTTATTCCATTAATTATGAAATTGAAATGTTTGCTATGAGAAAGTCATTTGTCTCTGGTGATACCTTATACACTATCCATAGAGAAAAAAAATAAAAGTAATTTGTTTAAAAATTAATAAATATTTTTTGTTTTATCCCTAATGCCCAATAACTTTATAATTTAAAAATAATTTTGTTGAAAATGTTTGTTCTATATTTCCTACTACACTATATGAAAAAAATTGTTGGAGCGATACCCCCAGCATGCTCTCCAAAAGGTATATTTAATACCATTCTTATTCTTAATTTAAGACTACCCAAAATGTGCTCTCTGAATTTAGTGATGATCCATCCAGATGTTTTCTAGTGATGCAGAAACAAAGAAAAAGAGTTAATTTTACCAGCTAAAAGGGCCCTTAATAATTTGTTTTCCCAGTAAGTCAAACAGCTGTCCGAATAACTGCTGAGCAGCCCTGGTAAACCAGTACAACCTTTCTGAATTGATAAAATCCTAACCTAAACAAACTATATTTTATTTTATTTTATTATTATTTTTTTAGACTTTTTTAAAAATTGAAACTATATTTTAGAATATGTGTGCAACCCTATTGAATATACAGTTGTTATAATTTGGAAGGCAAAAACCATGTGGCTCCCCATGGTCAATCACGGCTTCAATGACTTGTTGGCTTTTCAGATGTCAGAGACCTTCGGGGGTCTGTTGATATATAAAAAATTATAACCGTTGCTTATGTTGTAATCCACTGATACTCCTTCCCATGATAGCTCCGAGCTATCCAATATCCAAGAGTAGTATGTCATGAAGGGATAATGAAGCTCCCATTCAGAATCCTAGTTGTGCAAGCATTTGGAGGAGTAACTCAGGCCATCAACCAATGAGGATCGTCATCCTCACCTTGGATGGCTGCTAGAAAATTCCTGCAAAATTTCCTCATTCCTTATTCCTGTGCTAACCATGACACTCCGTTCACCTTTTCGCTGCAGCATTCATACACAGTCATTTAAAAAATATATATTTTATTGATTTTTTACAGAGAGGAAGAGAGAGGCATAGAGAGTTAGAAACATCTATGAGAGAGAATCATCGATCAGCTGTCTCTTGTACAACCCCTACTGGGGATGTGCCCGCAACCAAGGTACATGCCCTTGACAGGAATCGAACACAGGACCTTTCAGTCCACAGGCTGACGCTTTATCCACTGGGCCAAACCGGTTTCGGCCACTCAGTCATTTTTATTTGTCTTTCTCCTCATTGGACTGCGAGCCCCTGGAGCAGCTCTCTGACCTCCTCACCAGTGACACTCTTGGAAAAGACTCACAGGGCTGAACAATCCTCCATTGCCTGGAGCACTCATTGGTTACCCATTTTCCATTCAAAAAGCCCAGCAATGCTTGTTTCTTTTGGACATTTAGCTATTGATGAAATTTAAAAATCCATACCCTCTACAAGATTTATCTATTGCCCATGACCTGGTATTAAATATGTATTTTTTATGGTTACACAAGGAAAAATTTAAGTGGTAGACATCGTTATAATTATTTTGGAATTCTACTCTCTTGAGCAGGGTGTATTTAGTAATATGTAAGGCCTTTCCAAGTACTAAACTCTCTTATTCTACAAGACTTGTCCTTGCTGTAGCAGGATTAACCTTTTTCAAGAAAACAGACCAACAGATGTTGACAGTGGGCTTGTGGGCTATGAAAAAATAAAGACAGGGAGGTGTTACAGGGAACTTTACAACCCATTAAAAACAAAAGACTTCAACAAATGTTGGGGACATTTAAAGCAACATAATGGCAACATACCAAGTCTGCTGAAGTTCTTAATATATTTTATTGATTTTTTACAGAGAGGAAGGGAGAGTTAGAAACATGGATGAGAGAGAACATTAATCCACTGCCTCCTGCACACTCCCTACTGGGATGTGCCTGCAACCAAGGTACATGCCCTTGACTGGAATCAAACCTGGGACCCTTGAGTCCACAGGCTGACACTCTCTCCACTGAGCCAAACCGGTTAGGGCTGCTAAAGTTCTTTATGAAAGCATCCTCAAGGTTCTTATCCTAGACCATAGAAGAAACTCATGAACTTTCTTTCCAATGCTCCAGAAAACCCTACCATCCTTGGATGGACTGTTTTAATAAAGATTCCTTAAGGTTTTAGGGAAAAGCCCCATGCAGGTTTTAAAACCAGTCTTGCTTCTAATGCAAACCATAGGTCCACTGAGATGTGATTGCAAACAAATACAGACATTTCTATCCATGAAATTCCCAAGCGTCCAGAATATTTATTTTGCTTTGATGTTTTCTCTGGAGCTGCAAAGACTACTACGATTGAAACCGATTGGGAAAAACCATGCTTCGAATGTTCTTTCAACCCACTCCTGTGGCAATTTCGTCAAACCACCTGCTTGGGAGTCATCTAGTGGCCAGAACCCAGGTTTGGGGGGAGAGGGGAGAGAAACCTGCCCCGTTATATAATTCCCTTAAGCAGGTTTTGGCTCCCGCTCTGGACCATCCATCTTACATAGTGGCTCCTGCCCTGCAGCCAGCAATGCGTATGATCAAGCAATTTAGCACAAAAAGGAAAAAGGCCCCACAACTTGGCATCCCTGGTGGACATTAATCTCTGAGAAAACCAAATGGGTCCAACTTTTTGCCAGAGTTTAATAGCGAAGCTGTCACATTCTACACAAATGACTCTGGAGCCCGTTAGCGAATGGCAAGAAGAGATGGGGTGAGGGGGGTGGGGTAGTGGAGTGGAGGAGGTGGGGCTGCTGAGTGGACGGTTTTCAAAGCGGCTCCAGTTTTTAGGGGGAGGGGCCGGGATACCCCGCACCGCACCATGGGAGACGAAGTAGTTAAAGCCCTTTCCTAGCGAGGAGCCTGAAGCCCAGGGCGCGGGTATATAAGAGGCGCCTCCAGCGCAGAGCTGCTGCTGCTGCCCTGAGACCGTTATCTGGGCGCGCGGACTCAGCCCATCACTGGCCCCGGAGGCCTGGGAGACGATCACCGCCGGCCGGTGGGCTCTCACCGGGGCTCCTGCTGCTTAACCTGCGACCCACTCTCAGCCCCTCCAACTCCTGTCCCCTCTCCTTGAAGGCGCACCCTTCCCGTCCCCCCCCTGCATCCCCGCGCGCGACACCAGCGCGCCCCGCGCCAGGTCCAACCCAAGGCGATGCGCGCAGGGGACCAGGCGGCTGGGCTCGGACAGCGGGAGTAGCGCCCTTGGGGAGGAGGTAGGGAGGCTCAGGGGTTAGAGACCGGGCGGAGGCCACCTTTGCTCTGAGCAACACCTGCTGCTGCCGCCGCCGCAGAGCCGCGATGAGCCGCGTGGTCTTGGTCTCGCTGCTGCTGGGCGCCGCTCTGCTCTGCGGCCACGGAGCCTTCTGTCGCCGCGTGGTCAGCGGTGAGTCTGGGCCCCCCCCTGCTCGGGATCGGGGACCCTGGGGTTCGCGGGCGAGGGCGAGGGCGAGGGCGGGGAGGGGCAGCCAGGCCCAGGGTGGCCGGTCTCCCTGGCATTGGAAAGCTAACTGTGCGGGGTGGGTGGGGAGCAGGGAGGAGGCGTAGGAAGCTGGGTTGCGCTGTGCGTTCTCCTCTGCCCCGCACAACGCACGCAAAAAAAGTTTAAACATTTCGTTCGGGCTTGGTTCCATGGCTGCAAAACGAGCTGGGCTTCATCGCGAGCAGCAAGGCTTTCTCCGGGAGTGATTTGTTTCCACTTTCTTTGCAAGCGAGTTGGTGGCAGGGCAGGGCCGGGCACCTGAGACCGGGGTGGGGTACCGCGGAGTCCGGGAAGGAGAGCCGCTGCAGGGATGCCTCCCCCTAGGGGTCTGGTCCGCTGCAGTCCCACCCGAGGTCTCTGGGAGGATCTGGGGCAGATCTGCGCGCCCAGAGTCGATGGGGGACCCCTGGGCACGCAGCCTTTGTTCTCAGGAGGCTGACAAAGAGCAGGGACTGGTCAGGGTGAGAGCTGTCCTGTCTTTGCGCACCTCATCCCAAGTTGGGGACCTCTCAGAAGGTGAAGTCGGCTGGCGTTGGGCTGGGATATATACATGGCGATGACAGCCTGCAGGTCCATGCTCCCAGCAGGTGCCCAATTATGTTGGCAAAGTCGGTGCAAGGGACATGCATCAGCATTGGCCACCTTCCCAGCGTTCGCTCTGATTTTTCTTTCCATTCGACTTCCACGCGCCTGTTGAGCTATTAATATTTGACTCACACTTTCTTACTTTTTGGGAAGGTCTCTTAAACACACACACACACACACACACACACACACGAAGATTCTCAAAAGCGTGACTAGTGACTAGGGCCTTACTGAAAATTGAGCACAAACTCCTTTTATTGAAATGGATTAGCTGTGATGCTAATGAAAGTGTTGCCACGAATGCTTATTGACTGTATAGGGGCATGTGCTTTCAATGCGGGGAGTTTTTTTCCATGTCAAAAGCACAGATTCCTTTTCACAGTCTGTGCATCTCAGAACAGGTGTCCTGGAGCTAGAGAGAGATGACAGATGATGACAACTTAATCAGGAGTAAAGCCAGACCTTTAGAAATTGGCACCTTAAGCTTAATTGTTACTGATCTCCCCTCAGCAATATGTGATGTCCTACATCTTCCGGAGATATTTCTTGAAGGTCTCATTGTCTTTCACTCTCGACTACCTTTTTGGCAGTCTGGAGACACTGGAATTAAATACATTGTGAAGTGTCATTTGGAAATGCTATAGCTGCTTGCTTTTTCTTGGGGAGGAGGGAGAGAGGAAGGGAATCTGGTTCAACATTTTAAAAAGGAAAACACTACAGTGTGAAAAAGGATGTTATAGAAGCCATTATATCAGCTCATCCCCCCCCCCCCTAATTTAACTTTGAGAGAAAATTTTACTATTTGGACTCATCTGAATTATACATATCTAACTGCCTTTGTGTTTATAAGAATGATTCTTACAAAAGAATGAAGAGCAAAGAGTAGGTTTTGAGCATAAGGTGTTTTGTAAACACATAGAAACACTTTTTTGAGTTAAGTAGTATCTTTTTGGTGTATTCCTGTTTGTATGTCTTAAACTTTGCAAGGGAGGGAAAATATATATGATTAACGTTAGAACTTGAAAATTGCTGGTGAAAGTTTATTGTGCATCGTTATTGCATAAATTGATATAAATCTTTTGCTGTTTTCCCCCTGTTATTTATAGGCATCTTGCAGGTGACATCTGGAAAATTTCTCATGAACTGAACATGATCTATTTGATTTAGCATAAATGATGATGTTTGCTTGGTATTAAAACAATTAAGTTTTTCTTATGAATAACTGGATTGTCTTTGGCTGTACAAGTTCACATTGATATTTAAGCATTCTAAATCGATTTGTGATTTTTTGTGATTTTATGCTTTGAAGGCTGTCTTTTAAAAAATATATATTTCAGACAAAATGGCATGAGGACAGGACAGTTTAAATCTGGACATTTTGGAAGTAGTAGGTCTAATGCCTGGTCAGTGCTGAGTTTTGAGTGGTGCATCAACTTTCTCATGCCACTAGGGGAACATCTACCAAAATCCACAAGTGTCTGTTGACTGCATCAAGTTCCTTGGGACCATCATTAGGAATATATTTACAATCAATATGTCAAATACATTTTCTATTTATTAAGTACCAATACAGCTATTTATAATTTCATCCCAGAAAAATGATAGGAACTCATAAAACAATCCCTCATAGAAATTCTCATCTTAGTACTTTAAAATATTCCATTATAAGATACTTCCCAGTGCTTTAAAATGCATCATCCTTTAAAATGTGTGAGCATTATTTATAAAGGAAGTGAAACTATTTTTAAAAAGCATTTCAAACAACTTCATCATCATCTTGTTCCCTATAAGAGTGCATAGCATCTAGCAGTAGTAGAAAAGTATTTTTGCAGATCAGGGGCCATGCTTACTTTGATGCGTGGATATACAATACAAATGTCCAATCACAAGGATAATAATCAGGTGGTACATAGTGAATGTATGGTTCTAAGTTGGGAACCACTTTTAGGGTCTTACATCTGTCCTGGTTTGTTGTTGAACACCGATGTGTAGAGAGTACCTCTGGGGGTTGCAGACATTAAATTTAGTCACGTGACTGGTAGGTGGCGGCATCCTTAGGTCAAAGGTAAGAGGATTTTACTTATGGAGCTAGAGATAACATATGAAAACAAATAGTTCAAAATTCAGATTCCAAAGATGGGAAGATGTATTTGAAGAGCATATGGATATTTTTAAACATATGAAGTGTTTTTAAGTAACATTTCTTTCTTTCTTTCTTTCTTTCTTTCTTTCTTTCTTTCTTTCTTTCTTTCTTTCTTTCTTTCTTTCTCTCTCTCTCTCCCTCTCTCTCTCTCTCTCCCTCTCTCTCTCTCTCTCCCTCCCTCCCTCCCTCCCTCCCTCCCTCCCTCTCTTTCTTTCTTTCTTTCTTTCTTTCTTTCTTTCTTTCTTTCTTTCTTTCTTTCTTTCTTTCTTTCTTTCTTTCTTTCTTTCTTTCTTTCTTTCTTTCTTTCTTTCTTTTCACACAGCAGTGATCCTCAACCTGTTTGTGCTGCAAAATGGCACTGCTGAGTATGTTCCATGGTAGCTCTAAATTTCTGCAGAACATTATAATATGTATTATTTGGAACTTTTAAAAATTGGCACATGTTTTATTTAGAAGAGTGGATGGTGTAGAGACCTCTCTTTTTTTTTTTTTTTTAATCACACAGAAGCCACAGAATACTGCACAATCATGGTTATGATCAGTCGCCAACAGATTAACATAACAGCAAAGGAGACAAAAAGAATTGTTATCCCAGCCTCAGGTAGCATTCCATGACATCATCAAAAGCATAAAGTGATGACGGTGCACTTTTCCAAGATGCAATTACTTTAAGCATCTCTTGGGCAAGAAAGGAACAAATTAATCTTATTGCTGGTCATTTAATAAACTGCACATTCATCATAGCCATTAATTCCTAACTGCTGTTGTTCAGCATTTTATGGCTTTGTTTTTAGAACTCCTTTTCCTGGAGATGGCCATAGATATTCCATTAACACAAGGAAAGAGGCAGTGTTGCTTAATAAAAAGGCTGCAAGCGGAAATCCCGTGATGTCCTTACTAGCAACTTTTACTTGTTGTAATGCTGCTCTGTGCTAGGTGGCTGGATGCATACATTGCAACATGGCCTGACAACTTGATTCTAGTTACCCCCTTATAATTGGGAGCGGGGGAGAGAACACATTGGGTCTTGTTTGTTTTATTTGGGGGGAAATCTGGGTAAATGCATGAACTGTGGAGCCTGGCTCCCTGGATCTCAGCCCTGAGTTCACTGGTGAGCGGTGTGAATTTGGGAAAATGAATTGACTTTCAAGGAGCTGTGAGACGGACCTCACATGGCCAGCCCTGTGCCTGGAGCTGAGGCCACCTATAGGAAAACACATTGTTATTTTTTTTTTCTAGCTGAACAACCTATATCACCAGGAGAGATGTTTCCTAATTTACCCAAAGGCATGGATTGTGCTAACATTGAGGCCCTGCATATTAAGCTCTTTGATAAATGCCAGGCTACTATTATGATTCTTATTTCTTTAAAAGTCATAATCACTCTCACTTTTTAAAAATGTATTTTTCATTAATTTCAGAGAGGAAGGGAGAGGGAGAGTGATAGAAACATCAATGATGAGAGAGTATCATTGATCAGCTGCCCCCTGCCGTGGATTGAGCCTGAAACCGAGACATGTGCTCATGGCTAGAATCGAACCCAGGACCCTTCAGTACACAGGCCGATGTTTTATCCACTGAGCCAAACTAGCCAGGGCCACTGTCTTTTTAGGAAAGAAAACATTAACGTCCTCAATGTCCCCACAGTTCAAGTAGAACTCTGGGACTACAAGCCAGTTCTGATTGATTGAATGCTTGAAATCTTAAGTAACATGAGTGGTTTGCCATTTGCTATTTAGATCTTGACTTTAAATATTAGATTTTTTTAATTAAAAAAGGAATCTCATTTCCTTGTCAGTGTTATATTTCCTAGCTGGAGAGGTAGGGCCTGCAGCTGCACCACCGTTCACCAAATGATCAGAGACTGCCGTTTGGTTTTGTTTGCCAAAGCAGGAAATGGATTCCAGCACATCTCTATGTGCACTATGCAGCTCATGGCAGCATACCACCTCTGTGCAGTGTACAAGACAGTTTATGAATTCCTGTTGTTAGTGTACAATACAGTTTGAACTATGCAGTGCACTATGCAGCTCATGGCATCATACCACCTCTGTTGCAAAAATGAAGTTTATCATTACGAAATATTTCTATACGGCACATTCTTAAGAAGTTGGTGTAATATTGAACCCTGAAACACAACATGGAATCAATAGCTTTCCCTTTCTTTCTAGTTCAAAAGTGTCAGCATGGCCACCAGAGGTCATGTGACACTGTGTATTGTAGTATCAGCATGCTTATCAGTGTGATGTTTGAAGGTGATAAGAAAGAATTATGAAAAACAAATTCTTTTGTGCGATTCTGATCAACTGTTTGGAATCCAGTCAGCCTGGATCATGTAGATCCTCTTTGTACAACTTTTTTTTTCTGGGCCACCTAAAGTAGGCCATCACTAACAACAGGAATTCATAAACTGTTTTGTACATTTTACTGAATAAGGGGATAGAAATTAAATATTTAATTAATATTGATAACATATGATTAGAGTATGAGGTCTAAGAAAAATGTGATTACTTTTCATAACACATTGACTACTCACCTGTCAGTCATCATATAAGCAAAATAACACCAAGATCCCTTTCTATTCAGGAAGAAAAAAATAAACTGCAGTGCATTTATGAGTTTGGCCCCACTTTTACATATTGCCAAAAGCATTGAAAACTCTGCCAATATTTAGCTCTAAAGGAATTTTAATGACTAAGAAAAAAAGACAAAGTCATATGTTCATGGAAATAGTGCAGTTTTGGCTCTGATATTGTTAGGAATGTTTATTTTTATAGGCAATACTGAGAATGATCTCTAAATAAAAGTTCCTGAGTACATATGTAAGGTTGTGTGTGTGAGTATGAGAGAGAGAGAGAGAGAGAGAGAGAGAGAGAGAGAGAGAGAGAGAGAGAGAAAGAGAGAGACACCAATAGGTGTAGACTCCTAGGTCTTTTCTCTCTCTTGTAAATAAGCCAACAAGCAAAGGATATTTCTCACTACAAGTGCTAAGTAACATTTAATAAATTATTGTTTGATAGTTTCAAGTTAGCCTTCATGTAACAAAAACAGTTACACCATTATTTGAATATGTTATGGGTAGTAGACTGGTTGATAGGAGGTTAGATGAAGTATATGGAATAGATGGAATAGATGGAAGGTTAGAACTCCTGTATTTCAAAGTAGTGGGTGGAAGGTTTTATCTGAATATAACATTTAGAAGTAAGAGAAGAGGAAATTCTCTTCATGATCTCACAGAATGAGAAGGGAGGGAACCATCATGGTTCTCTAGGAATATTAGCCTTTACAGAAGTGGGAGAAGTTGCTTCCAGCAGATCCATATTAATGGGACTTTTCTGGGAATCAGGGCAACATCTGTTTCCCAGCTGTTGGAGTTCCACCGCGATGACAGCCCAGTGTGGTCAGCTGAAATGACAGTCAGCAGTTCCATAGCTACTTCTTTTGCTGCAACATGCACTACGTTTGCCTGAGAAGGTGGAAATCAGGAGTGAAGTACAATTGGATGTAAAGAAGTTCACAGCGTCAGCTTTAACTGACTATGATATATGAATCATTAAAAAAAAAAAACCCTGCAATGTTTCCATAATTTCCTGGAAACTGCCATGCTAGATCTGAACTGCTAGCGACTTTTCAGTTCAAAGTCTGTGGACACCGTTGCTATTTAATCAATACCCATTGGAGTCAATGTCTATCTGTAGTTGGTAATTGGCCACTGTCCTGATTCTCTGAGAGGTCCCCTGCAATGCAGCCACCGCAGTCTCCTCCCCCTGTCCCAGGACTCCCAGACCACTCCATCACCCACAGCCACAGCCACTGACACAGCGAGCATCATGATTGGCTATCATCCAGGGCCCTGCAGTATTAGTTGTTAATTATTTTAAATATAACCCCTGTCTATGGATTTTCTCTTATTATTACTTCTCCACAGACTAACATTTATACTTTGCTAATAGCTAATAGTGGTAATAGGAATTTTCTGATGACACCAAAAGCTGTCTAATTAGAAGCACTATCTTAATTTTATAAATAAGTCTCATCATTTGAGTACTCTCACCATAAATACTAAGTCTGTGCTGCATTTACTTTTAATATAGGAAAGATAATGAGCAGCGACTTTTCGCATGTAAGTCATACATACGCATCTTCTGGATGTGTATGTATTTGTTACATAAATAAATTTTACTTATTAAAACTTCTAGCTAATCAATTTTTTTAAGTTGGCTTTTTGACATCTGACAAAACAATCTTGTTGGACTAGGTTACTATTTTAAAAGTACTGGAATCAAATCCAAGACTGAGATGTCTTAGAATGAAAAACTAAACAAATTGAAACCTCAAGGGAATGCCATTGAGAGATATTTTGAAACTTAGAAGTATGTAAAGGATGCAGAAGATGAAAATGGAAACAAAAGCTTGATTTAAAAATACAGACATAAAAATCACTAGGCTTCATGGCATTGCTAACATATTACCAGAAGTGAAAATACATGCATACAAATCATGAGGCTTAATGGCATTGTTAAATTATTACCAGAAACAACACTTTTTAATAATGAAGTCATCTCAAACCCAATAATAGACTAGGAGAAAGTTTTTTAAATAACAATTATACTAGGACCAATCATTGGGACTTTCATAATCATCGCTCAATGAATGTTTCTGACGGAATTGTCCATTGGAAGTCAATCTTTAATTTCAGTTTCCTGAGGGCTTTCATACCTGCCTGCTATTTTTCATTAGCAATTAGTTGGGGGCAGTCTGCTAATTTGTTCATGTGATTCAGTTTGTTGCTCCTGAGTCCAGATCAGGGTGAATGAGAGAGAGGACAACTGGCTGCTATTTTATTAGTTGACTATTCTCCACGTGTGTCGAGTTATTGGATGCCTGTCACTCAAACATTGTTGTGAGAGAATGGCTTTGTGCTGATTTCCGCTCCCTCCTGCCTCTGTGTGTCCTCAGAGGTGATGAGTTGCTCACTCTGGGAGAAGGGATGTGTTACTGGCACTGGCTCAGGGTGATACACTGTAATTAAGAGTGCAAATCTGGGAAGCTTTATTTTGTTCCCAGTGTTTAAGTACAACAACACCTCAAGTCATCATTACTGACAATTTTTCTGGCTCCGCTACCAAATTAAATACACAGTAAAAAAGCCTACAATCTCAAGAGAAAATAAGGCTCCTGCTGGTGAACCATAAGAAAGCAGTAAACCTTTGTGCTCAATTTCTTAGCATAGAGTCATTTAACTTAATTTTACACAAAATAGTATGATAGTCTATTTTCCAAGGCTACACCTAGCTGAAATCAGACAAAGACTAAGAGTGGTGTAGGCCATGGGCAGCAGTTGGCGATAGGGAACAGTGACAGAGAAGGGTTCTAGGCTGTTTGTGAATGGACAACCAGAAGTAAGAGGTGAACCAAAGTTAATGAGAAACAAAACAGCTTGACACTGGGGAGAGTCTGTATCATCCTGGCTTCCATGTTTGGGGGTAAAACGGGGGAGAGTATAAATAAAATATTCCATTGCTGGCAGAGTTAGCTAAGTCCCATACACTATGGCTTCATCATGACTCGACATGATCGTGCCTATTCATAGTATGACATCAGGAAAATTAATTCTCTCAATATGTAGGCGTATGTGAAATTCAATTTTAAGATTGTTTTTCAGTTTTTGTTTTTGTCTTGTTGCCTGTGTGTTTAAGTCATCTGTCTTGTTTTTGCTTGCTTGCTTGCTTTTCAGGCCAAAAGGTGTGTTTTGCTGACTACAAGCACCCCTGCTACAAAATGGCCTACTTCCAGGAACTGTCCAGCCGGGTGAGCTTCCAGGAGGCGCGCCTGGCGTGTGAGAGCGAGGGGGGAGCCCTGCTCAGCCTGGAGAACGCGGCCGAACAGAAGTTGATAGAAAGCATGCTGCAAAACCTGACAAAGCCAGGCACGGGGATTTCTGATGGCGACTTCTGGATAGGCCTCTGGAGGAGTGGAGAGGGCCAAGCGTCCGGTGCCTGCCCAGATCTCTACCGCTGGTCGGATGGCAGCGGCTCCCAGTACCGGTGAGTGGGCTCCTGAGGGAGATTTCTGTTTCCTGTAAGGGGTGTCAGAATAGAACAGGTGACATCACTTAGAAGTGTTCCTACTTCTACAGAGTGGGACAAGAGTAGGTTTTCAGTATGTGGAACCCAGTTCTTGTGTTATTATTTAATAATCATTGTGTTACTTTATTAATCATTGTATTATTATTATTATTATTTTAATATATTTTATTGATTTTTTACAGAGAGGAAGGGAGAGAGATAGAGAGCTAGAAACGTCAGTGAGAGAGAAACATTGACCAGCTGCCTCTTGCACACCCTCCACCAGGGATGTGCCCGTAACCAACATACATGCCCTTGACCGAAATCGAACCTGGGACCTTTCAGTCCACAGACCGATGCTCTACCACTGAGCCAAACCGATTTCGGCCATTGTATTATTATTAATCATTGCATTATTATTGATTAATTATTGCATTTTTAACCAATTATTTATTTATTTTTACATATTTTATTGATTTTTTTTGCCCCCCTCCCTTCCTCCTACACATCCCCTCCCTCCGCAGAGTTTTATGTCCATTGGTTGTACTTATATGCATGTATACAAGTCCTTCGGTTGATCTCTTATCTCCCCCAGATCCTCCTCCCCTACCCGCTGTAATTTGACAATCTGCTTGTTGCTTTGCTGTCTCTATATCTATCTTTTGGTTCATCAGTTTATAACGATCTTTATTATCCACAAATGAGTGGGGTCATGTGGTGTTTCTCTTTCATTGATTGGCTTATTTCACTCAGCATGATGTTCTCCAATTCCATCCAGGTTGCTGCAAATGATGAGAATCCCTTCTTTTTTATGGCAGCATAGTATTCCATTGTGTAGATGTACCATAGTTTTTGGATCCAATCATCTGCTGACGGGCACCTAGGCTGTTTCCAAATTCTGGCTATTGTAGATTGTGCTGCTATGAACATAGGGGTGCATATATCCTTTCTGATTGGTGTTTCTAGTTTCTTGGGATATACTCCTCGGAGTGGGATTACTGGGTTTTTATTATTGCATTATTTTTCTACACGAACAACTGTAATCCTACTTTTGCCCCACCCTGTATTTTCAGAAACTGGTATACGGATGAACCTTCCTGTGGAAGTGAAAAGTGCGTTGTGATGTATCATCAACCTACCGCCAATCCTGGCCTTGGGGGCCCCTACCTTTACCAGTGGAATGACGACAGGTGCAACATGAAGCACAATTACATCTGCAAGTATGAACCAGGTAGGATGTACTGCAAACTGACGTAACAGATTCTGCACATATCTGCTTGTATTGTCTTATCTGTATCTAGGCTTTGCTTCCTTTGGTTCTTTTTGTTTTTCTGTGAAACGGGGTGTAGTCTGCAGCTTGTCCTGTCATGCACGGTCCTGAAGCCCACTGTGTGCTACAGGACAAGCTGCCGCAGAGTGGGGACCAGAGTAACTAGAAACTATGGAAACTAGAGTCTCTAGAAATAGAAACTCTATTCAGTCACCAGAAACAGCTAGGCAGTAGAAACATCCAGGAAGGTGTCTTTAGGAGGCAATAATCATTATGAAGGTCAAATTGTGTTTTTGTAAGTTGATGTAATGAAAAATAAACATCTATTTTAAAATATTTAAAATATTCAGTATGGTGTATGTGAAGGAGGTATGTCACCAAAGAACCCATGGATTTACACATTTGAGCAACAGTTCTTTGGGTGATCATCTGGGGAATTTAAGGGATCAAAGGAACATTCCCTTAGGATTTCATGGCATGGTTCTTGCACATACTCTTCAGTGAATATCAAAGTGGTCATAGCTCACTGAACCAAACACCTTGAAAAAAAGTAGGGACATGTGCCATGGTCTTGCTGTGCTCCTCATTCTTTGAAATATGCCTCCTTAATCAGCTTTTGCTAAAGTCTCTAAATTCATTGCCCTATGCAGCAAATGAGAAGATTGCATTGACCTATGCTAGCCGCAGTGTAGTTTCCTATGGAAATAGTAAATTTAGATAACTTTGAACGAGACAGCTCAACTGAATTGATATTTGGCCCAGAGAGAGATTAATCAAAACTGTATAAACTCATTAAAAAAAATAATTTAAGAAAGTCAAATTAGATACTTAGGCCTTGGGATTTCTTTTGGAGCTATTTGTCTCCTCAGGTTTTGGAAATACATTTTAACTCTTCTGTGTACTTGACCTCATGTACTCATGGAAGGCAATCATAATCAAGTGCTGCTATTTCCATTATTCTCTTGAAATTACATGATTCCTGTTTCTCATAAGACCGTGAAGCACAAGGGATTAGTTGAATTAGATTTACTTCTCTGTCCTGTTGATTCTGCTCTTGAGTATATTAGCCAACTTTCTCTCCCTGGTGAGTTTATTCTTTAGCAGCCCCTGGGTTACTAAATCCATCATTACCCTTTTAGAAGCCTTTACAAAGCTAATCTGTTACACTTTTATGTTTTTTGTCTTCTTTTTTTTTTCTTAAAAAAGATAAAGTTGTTATTCTCTCGTAGTTTCTATTTGCAACTCTATGACTCAAACTCTTAAACAGGTTATATTATAGAATTTTCTTAATACAATATTTTCTTCTTTTCTGAGGTTTTAGATGAAAAACTTGACCCAAGGGTATTTGTTTATTTTATGTTATTCGTTTATTTTGGCCTTCATAGTTACATTTTTTAGGACACTATAATCTCAGAATCTTCCTGACTTGTTTCGTTTTAGATAAACTAGGTTTATATTACTCATGGAACAGCATTGTAGACATAAAATTATTTTTTCCTTTATTTCCTATATTCTACCTAAATCTTCAAATATTTATACTTTGAACTTTAATTATTTCTCTAACTATACCAGAACTACTGTTTAATTTGGACTTAATCTTCTCTTTCTGCTTCCACGTACCATCTAGGCATGACTGCTCATATCCCAAGTGAATAATTTACTTCTGAGTCTGCCTGTTCTCTTCACCATCATTTTTGTTATTGTCCCATAGCTGCATATCTATTCTATAAGTCTATCAATGTTACCCAAATGCATTTTTATGGAGATACATCTGAATCTAATTTTTGCATTTATTTAAATTACACTATATACTTTTGTTCTTAGACATTAAAAATAACATGTATGGAATTATGTTTCTCAAATGTCATAAATTAATCAGCAACTGCATTAAATTAAATTTTATTAAAATTATTTTTAAACTGACAAGTTCTGAGTTGATCAATTACATAATATCTGTATTATTTGTTCAGCAAATACCAGTTGAGATAGGCATAGAGTGCCTACCTGAGTTCTGCAGAAGAATGAGTGTAGGGTAGGACTGTATTTGAAACCTAGTGGAGTCTATTAAAGGGTCAGGGTGAAATATATCCATAGTGATAATAAATATTATTACAGGATGGTATATGCTTAAACTTCCAATGAACAGAGACTATGTGGTCAGTCAGAGTAGTAAACATTACATTGAAATGATTTCCTATTCTGAAATGAATATAAGATGCTGCATATGTGCTTTTCTTTCCATCATTTGACAAAAATAAATAGGAAAGTATATTTTTGGAACAAATGGAAATAAATTCACAGGATCGATGTTTTCTTAATAATTTAGATAGTCACTGAACTATTAGTTTAACAAATAAGAACTAGAAAAATAATGAGGTGATAGAGCAGTACCAGGTCATGGTAATATTTTCAATATATTTTAAAGGCATAGAATTGAGGAGATCTCATCTCAAAGAACCAGGGAAAGAAACAACTGCAAGCTTTTGTTTATTAGCATATTTTAAAAAGAGGTAGACACTATTGAAGATAACATCCAAGGATAGCATTATTTGTATGGATAATGTGCTTAGAATAATATTTGAATCATCAATTCCAAATGTAATCCATATGCAATCTCCTGCTGACTATTATTGTTAGGAGGAACCTACATATTACACTGATATTAGTACCAAAATCATCGTTGCTTGTGGTTGAATTGCAGTTAGTGGCTCACAGTCTTATGGTCACTGCTTCTTGGTTATCTATAGCCTGGCTTCGTGCCTGTTTGATATTATTGTCTGTAGACATGCTGTTGATTGCTAATGTGGTTATAATTGCAAGGGTTCACCAACTAGATGCTTGATTTAAAGGTAATTAAATGTTGACTTTCTAGTTAGATAATTGCACATAAATTTGAACCCAAATATAATTCTTAACTTTAAATTGTTCAGAAGTCAAAACTGGTGCTTATATTTTATAATAAACTTTTATTTTCATCTGTTTGCATTTCTCATGTTGATCACTACATATTATCATATGATGTCTGTATTTATTATCTAAAGAGATCAAGCCAACAACTCCTGGAGAGAAGACTTACTTTACAAACCAACCAGAAGACACCCATCAAAATGTGGTTGTTACTGAAGCAGGTAATTTGTTCTTGTGTCTTTAAATCTTCTAGGGAGAACAGAAACTGTTTGTTTAAACTCTGCTTCCAGTTGGCCCCAACTTTTCTTGTTGCTTGGTGAAATGGTGCACTAAATATGGACCTATGGGCATTTACTTTTGAACTAGGTTAGAACAACTGATGCAAAGCTAGTTTTTGCATACAAAAACCTATTTTGTTTTCTTCTGATTGGTTATGTGTCTAGCACTAAACTAAGTAATCCCCATTAAACTCTGAATCTATAAGGAACTTCCCCCAACAACATATAGGAGTTATGATATAAATTTTCACATGCAGTGGCCTGCCAACAGTGTTGTGCTGGTAAATGTTTAAGGATTGGCCAAGGTAAGGTGGGTATAAAATAAAAAGAGATCAATCAAAGAACTGTGTGCATGTATGCATATCCCATGGACATAGTCAGTAGGGTGATGAAAGCCTGAGACTGGGCTAGAAGAGGTCAATGGGGAAAAAGAGGCATATGTAATACTTTAAATAATAAATATTAAAAGAAAAACAAAACAAAACACCTGATTCATAGACTTTGGGATTTTCTGATGTAAATACTTCCTGGCTGCCTCCAACGTACCACTGTCTGCAAAAGAAACAATGATATCCCAGTGCAGATGGCATGTTAGTCAAAAATCATTTTAGCCTGGCCCTATGGCAATTGGATAGGAACGCTGACTTATCCTAGCTACTTTGTGAGGATTGAGCCAAAGACCCAAAGTCTCAAGATCTTTCCACAGGCCATCTAAAATCCACAAAAGGGTGGGGAACACTGTCTCTTTTTCTTTACTAACATAGATGAGGGATCATGATGGCATTTGGAAAAGTGGAAAAATATTTTGTGAATTTTTAAAATTCTTGAAGTCACCTATTAACTTGTTGGAGGCTCAAGAGCTGATGAAAATATATTATCTTCAAAATACCTCATCCCTGGACCTCAGCTAATGTACCCTCTTTTGTTAACAAAGGAAGTGATATGTAGTTAAATGGATAATTTGCTCTGGTTGGTCCACTTTGGCAACAATTATTTAGATTAATAATGATATCTGCTTTTGATTGGCTAGTGAAATGCAAAGTTTTCAATTTGTTTTCCCTGTATGGATATGATATTAAAGCTTAGTGTGCTTTATTTTCAGATGTCTGATTTTAAATCATTCAGAACATCTAAACTTAATTAAAGATAATCAATAAATAATTATATTAGGGATATTTCTCCCCATATGACATTGACAAAATGTTCAAGAAGGTAATTTTATGCTGTCTGAGACTTTAGTTTTTTATTTTACTGAGAATACCCAACATGATCAAGTGTGATGGAACAGGATTAAAAAGGATTCATTTTAGAATTTAATTAAGAGCAAGTCTTCATGCCCTAAAGTTTTGTGTCGCTGGGTTATGACTATATCATCAGTTCATATTTACATATTCTGTTGTAATGCCAGTAAGTCTTGCATATCTTCATGACACTAAGCTTATTGGTTAGTATAATTATGTGTCCAATAAATGAACAGTTATTTTAATAATGATTATTATTCTTTAATAATCAGTGCTTGGATCTCTAAGAACAAAGAAAGATTAGTGAAGTGAGAAAGCTAAGATCATTAATACATCATGAAAACTAGCCCTATCTGAATAGCAGACTTAGAAATACTTTTGGAAATAGGGACACTAAATAGGAGCATGACACAAAATGAAGTATGATTTTGATTTTTAATAAATATGAATATATTATGTAATTAGGCTCTTTAGTACTTAGGGAAGAATCTTGTTGAGAATCTATTTATTGATAATAATTTTGTTTTATCTTAAATTCTGGGAAACTTTGTATATAACTTTGGTGTTAGAATTCTGCTTCAACTGTCTTTTTACACTGGCTGTTTTACATTTGTAGGCATAATTCCCAATCTCATTTATGTTGTCATACCAACAATACCACTGCTCTTATTGATACTGGTTGCTTTTGGAACCTGCTGTTTCCAGATGCTGCATAAAAGGTAAATCATTCATATAGGCAGAGATACCTTGAAAAGTTTTAAATTAGCCTAAATTTATATTTTTAATTTGCCTTAAGGAAGTTCTGATTTTGTATCTGTCAGTAACAATGTAGTATGTAAAATCTAGTAAGATATATCTTCTCATAAGATTCATGTATTGTCTCATTCAATCTTCACAAGCCATGGGAAGTAGGTACCCTTCAGTTTCTATTTTTCCGTTGAGAATATGATGGTTTACATGTCTCACAGCTAGTGTATGTGCTGGATCTGAATGCTTGTAAGCTTACAACATATGCAATTATACTGTCCTTTGTTTATTAAGTACTAGAAGCCCAGTGCACAAAATTTGTGCATGGGGACACGAGGGGGATTGTACTTCAGCCCAGCCTGCATCCTCTCCAATCTGGGACATCCCTCTCATAATCCAGGATTGCTGGCTTCTAACTGCTCACCTGCCTGCCTTCCTGATTGCCCCTAATCGCTTCTGCTGCCAGCCTGATCATCCCCTAACCACTCCCATCCCAGCCTGATTAATGTCTAACGGGTCTCCTGCCAGCCCAGTTGCCCCCAACTTCCCTTCTCTGCCAGCCTGGTCACCTCTAACTGTCCCCCCTTCAGGGTTGATCACCTTCAACCGCCCTCCTTTGAAGACCTGGTCTCTCCCAACTGCCCTTCCCTGCTGGTCATCCTGTGGTGGCCATCTTGTGTCCACATAGGGGCAGGATCTTTGATCACATGGGGGCACCCATATTGTGTGTTGCAGTGATGGTCAATATGCATATTACTCTTTTATTAGATAGGATACGGGTCTGGTGCACAGGTGGAGGCCAGCTGGTTTGCCCTGAAGGGTGTCCCAGATCAGAGTGGGGGTTTCCTTGGGACATGGGATGGCCTGAGTGAGGGGTCAGTGGTGGTTTGCAGGCCAGCCATGCTCCCCAGTGACCCAAGTGGAGGCCCTGGTATCTGGGATATATTTACCTTCTACAATTAAAACTTTGTAGCCTGGAGAGGAGGCAGAAAGCTTGGCTTCTTCCATTGCCAGAGAAACCCAAGCCTCTGTGGCTGCAGCCATCTTGGTTGGAGTTAATTTGCATACATACTCTGATGAGCTGGAGGGCGTGGCTTGTGGGCCTGGTTTGTGGAACGGAATGATGGTTAATTTGCATATTACTCTTTTATTAGGTAGGGTAAGCATTAATGCTAAATCTTTCAATCTTGACCTCAAATTGAATGAAAGACTTGATTTTCGGTAGGTGTACTTTGTAGTATTTTTTCAAAATTTCAAGTCATAACTTATTTTATTTCAAAAGGATCTTTTAAGTGTAGGGAATAAAGCACACTGGTAAAAGTAGGCCACTTTTTGTTTGGCAGCTTGAAATAAATTTTAATAGCCAGATTCTTAGGAGCATCCTTTTAAAATATACATATTTTTTATTTCAGAAAGGAAAGTAGAGGGAGAGATAGAAGCATCAATAATGAGATAGAATCATTGATTGGCTGCCTCCTGCACACCCCACCCTAGGATCGAGCCCACAGCCTGGGCATGTACCCTGACCAGGAATCGAACTGTGATCACCTGGTTCATAGGTTGACGCTCAACCACTGAGTCATGTTGGCCAAGCTTAGGAGCATTTTTTATATCTGTTCATCCATACCATTGAGTTAGAGATAAAAATTTTCCATGTATATCAATTTGTTAATTCAATTAAAATAATTAACATAGGAAATATAAATATATATGGAAGGAGAAAGGAAAAGATGTTGGATTTAAATAAGAATATGTTTGTTAGAATAGACTAGACCAGCAATTTTCAACCAGTTTGCTGCAAGAATTTTTAAAGCATGCATTATCACACTATTTAGTCAAGGTACTGACTTCTTTTCCTTTAGATTGTAAAAAAAAAAAATAAAAAAAAATACAACAGTTAACACAACAATAGCTGACTGATTTTTTTTTTTTTTGTCAGATTGGCAAAAAATAATTTTTAATGTGCTACCAGATGTTAGTAATTAATTTGTATGTGCCATGAAATGAAAAAGGTTGAAAATTGCTGGACTAGGCCTCTATATCACAATGTTTCCAATAGAAAGTGATCAGGGAATTCCCCCATCATTTCTTTTTCTTTTGATGTTAAATTTTCTTCTTCTTTTCCTGAAATAAACCCTAAAGAATCCACTAAGTAAAAAAAAAAGTTCCAGTGAAACATTAAATAGATGTAAACTATAACGTTTACATACATTTTGAAAAGGTTCCAATCTATAATTTACTGGCTTTCTTAAGAAAGACATTTTGAATAATAATAATAAATAGCCAGGCCAGTGTGGCTCAGTATTTGAGAGTCAATCTATGAACCAGGAGGTCATGGTTCAATTTTTTGTCTTAAATGGTTTTTCAATATGTTGTATAGAATAAAGACAGTAGTAATATCTAGCTTCTTCGTCAATTCCTAAGACTGTAGAAAATGACTTATCATTATGGGAAGCAATGATGTAGAGGAGGATTAGATATAAATCCCCAATAACCCAGTCAAACTGTTAAGGAAGAGCTGTAAATAACAAATCAGCCTGAAAAAAAAAAAACTTTGAAAAATATGTAGATTTTCTCATTTCTAAGATAAATATTTCTAAAGTGCCAGTAACTGAGTTTTCTCTAAAATTTGTTTGCCTTCTTCCAAATAGTGCGTGTTACTGTAGAGATTCTATTCATTCAGAAGTCTCCCCATCTTGAAGATCTGTGGCATTTTCATTGTTTTAAATTCTCAGAGTGAAAAAAATAAACCAAAACAAAGTACCCCTACATGTCAGAATTAGCTGTAGTGATTAATTCATTCATTCTTAGATGCTCCCCTTTTCCTTTCTTCCAGGAAAGCAAGGAGAAACATCATCAAGGACTCAACTCCATTATCATCTGAGTGCCTTGCAGAAAATTTAAATTCCACCCTGGTACACATGATGGTTTCTATCCTTCCATGTCATGTTCCAAATAATAACTCTTGTTTCCTTAACTAGTAGTAATTCTTAAATACAATACGAGTGCTACACAAATACAGTATCACCTTTTTTTCACCATTAAAAAATTTAATGTTTTTCATCAACTTGGATTGATTTATTTTCCTTTCTAGATGACTTCATAGATAAAGATGTATTGATCTTACTTATTTGGATGCAAATCTCCAAAACATATGTATGGAACATACTACTTTATTAGTAATAAATTCACAGTTAAATGGAAGTCATTTAAATAATATTATGAAAATATATTGCTCAGGCTTGTTTAGGAAGAGTTCTTCTCTCTCCCCCTTACCCCTTTAGTGAGTTCTGCAAGGTCAAGTGGAGTCATTGAAAGGATGGGTAGAAGGCAGACCTATGGGGATTGGAGAGGGTACTGTTGGGAGGGTCTGTGGGAGGAAGGAAGTACAGAGCACGGTTCACAGGAACAGAAAGTGGTTAGTTGTACAGGTGAGGGATCATTCTCAGGAAACTAGATCAAAATGAATCTAGAGCTTAATCAGTAGTCTGGTATAGGATGTGGGTATGCTTAGGAACAGGCTGTTTGCATGAGCCTAAGAAATGGACATTTTATGGAGAGTTGAAGATAGCAAAGCCCGAGGTATGGGCTGGAAATGTGGGCCAGAACTCTACATCTGCTGAGAGTGAAGATTAATCTCAGATCTAGGGAAACTCAGATACCTATAAATTATTAGCACCCGAATCTACATTGTTTTCAGAGACTGAAACAATAATTAAACTTCATGGGATTAGATAACTTAATTGTAGGAGCAAAAACTGATGGGAGGAGAATAGGAAGGTCTTCTACTTAGGAGAAAAGCACTATTTTGATGATTTGGCATTCAATACAGCATATGCTAATGGAGGAATATTCAAAATGCAACATTTCAAAAATCATATCCTCTCCCCAAAATGAAGATTTAGTAGTGATTATAATGAAAATTTTAGCATTGTGTCAGACACATTTGTGTGTGTGTGTGTGCGTGTGTGTGTGTGTATCTGAATTCTAAACTATGACAGATTTAACAGAGAACCACCAATTTTATTTTATTTTTTTTCATAATTTCATATGAATTGTTTGCCATCTTCACATACTGAAATAATCTAAGATTTTTTTTTTTTGTAGGAATAAAAAAGTAGGCTGGTGAGAGAAGGACACTTTTAATTGTTTTTCTTTTTGGTTTTCTAATTGAGTGATATTTTTAACTCTGTTTTCTAATTCATTGATTCAATTCTCAGCTTCCCCTAATCTGCTGTGTATTTCTTCCAATGTGTTCTTTATTCATTTTATATCAATCTTTATCTCAGACTGTTCTTTTTAAATAGTTACTATATTTTTTTCCTGCTGGTGAGCATCTTTACCACCATTACTCTGAACTCTGTTTCAGATAAATTTCTTATCTCTGCTTCATTTATCACTTCTTCTAGAGCAGTGTTTCCTAAAGTGTGGTGCACCTACCCCCAGGGGTACAGGAAGAGTTTGGTGAGGGTACATGTTGCACCAGAGTTTGGTGGGGATATGCACTGCACATGCTTAGCTGTGCCTAATTCTATGTTCTCATGAGTACTAGGGTTACTCAGCATTATGAAAATTATAGAAGGGGTACACATATGTCAAAAGTTTGGGGAACACTGTTCTAGAGAATTCTCTAGTTTTTTCACTTGGGGGGTTGTTTCTTTGTCTTCTCATTTTGGCTTTCTGTTTGAGTTTGTGACTTTGTATTAGGTAGATCTTATACATCTCTCAATTGTGAGTGCAGAAAGGTGTTAAAGGCTATTTCTGACTAATTAGATCAGGCAAAGACTCAAACCCTCTGCTTACAGACTAATAGGATTCTGACTAGAATTGCCCCCCAGGCAATAATCCTTGGGTGTGGCAGAGTTTTCTTCAATAGGATGGGGGAGATGAGTCTGCCTGGAGGCTAATTATTATTTTTAATCTCTTAGTGGCATCAGGGCAAGATGTTTTCCAATATCTTTCCCCCAGATAAGGCAAATGTCTGTGTGGGAAAGATGTCCTCTTCTGTATGAGGGAATGACTCAGCCCAGGAAACCTGGAGTGTCTGCCTTCCGGGTTCTAGCCCCCAAATCTTCAGTCTTGGCTTCTGTTCTCACAGCTCCAGTCCACTTCACCCTCCTTCTGCCAGAGCACAAGGTGGGTGACTCCACAGGGAATTTGTGTGTTGGCCCTTTAAGAGAGTGCCTGAATTTTCAGCTGTTATTCTCTGGTAGACAGGGTTCCACTGCTTTTCATAGCCAGATGTTATGTGAGTACCCTCCTCAGTTTTGGTGCTCTCTGCTGTGGGGCCCAGCTTGGGGATTAGATTCCAGAGTTCTCAGTGATATCTCTCCATAGCAGAGATATCCATAGCAGAGATATCTCTCCGGGAATTCAGTTGCTTTCTGTGGGTACTTGGCTAGCCCTTTCGTGCCTCTGCCCCTCTGACCAGTCTCTAAGCATTCTACACTTTTGGTCCTCAGGTGTCTGGGTTCTCTCTTGCAAGTTTTCCATTGATTATTCAGGAAGTTTTTTTTTTTTTGTATTTTAGTTGTAATACCAGTTTGTTCCTGAGAGCATGTCTGTGCAGCACCTACTTACTCTGCCACCATTTTTAATCTCCAGAAGAACACTTTTATAATAAGGCTCTGAGATACATACCTCCATTTGGACCAAGACATGCTCAGTTTGATAAGGAGTGTCCTATATTGAACTTCTTTTTTCTTATGTTTTTCAGTAAAGGAAGGACAAAAACTAGCCCAAACCAGTCCACACTGTGGATTTCGAAAAGCACGAGAAAAGAAAGTGGCATGGAAGTGTAAAAACTCATTGACCGGCTCGAGTAAAGGAAACAGAGGTTTGTATAAGGAATGGCATCAGAACCTTAGCTTGGAATGGCTTGAAATCTCAGAGGATCTACAAGATGAACTGTAAGCTCCCTCTTGAGGCAAATATTAAAATGAGTTTTCTATGTTTATTTCATTTATAAAATACCCTGTGCTAATAATGGAGTGAGACATGCTTTTTTTTTTTTTTTCTTTTTCTTTTTTTTCTGAAATGATGCACCCAAATTTCAAATAAGTGGAATGGGCCATGCGGATAAACTTGCTGCCAACAAATCAGCAGTATGTGTATCAGAAGCAGTTATTTTTGTTCCTTTTACCTTTCATAAGTTGTAATCTAGTTACTGTAATGTAAATTGTATTGAAATTTATGGTGTGCAAATATATTTTACCTTTATAAGTGTTTGATAAAAATGGACTGTTCTAATAATTTATTTTTATGGTGTTTCATTTTTCAATACATGTTGTTTTGATTAAAGAAATTTATCACTGTGGTCACCTGAATTCACAAACATAAATATATTACCATAGGAAAAAGTTTTCTTTCTAGAAACGGTTCATCTTTCAGTTTCTCTGCTTTGGAACAGACAATGTGTAGGAGATCTCTTCAGAAATAAGAAGTTATTTCATTAGCTGTGGTATAAATCCACTCAAATATTTTACTTAGAGGCGAGACTTGTCTAAGTTCAATTGTGCAAGACATGTGCCTTACAATTGTTTTTAGTTTAAAATTCAACAGGTTTTGTAATAACTTTGTTAATAACGGTGTAAATGGTATACTCCATCTAGAATGAAAATAGCAGTATATACATTATAAATCATATGTCTTCACATGTTGCCTAGAGATCCACAGGAGCTCGCTGAGGGCTCTGGAATCAATTTGGTCCCTCCCTTGACCACAAAACAAAGGGTTGTCTGGGGTTTGGGAATAAAACTGGAGGCAGATAGCTGCATCGTTTGTCTAAGGTTTTCTTCTAGCTCTGATTTGCCTCTAACAGCAAATGAAGGGGTTTTACAGTTGGGACTAGGTGAGTGGAGGTAAGCACAGTACACTTCAATGAGGAAAGAAAGTATGAGTTAATGTGAAAAAAATGACTGGAGAGCATGGATGGTCACTGTTCATTGCTAAGTCTTTGGCTGGGAGAGTAAATTTGGGCTCCTCTGTCTTATCCCCTGGTTTCTTCAACGCTTGTGATTTCTTCTTCTCAAGAGAGAGTTGTAACATGGTCTTTACATGTCCCTGTGTTTCTCTGAACCAAATAAAAATTTCTTGTTTCTGAAGAATGAGCATTTGTGTTGTGTAAATCTCTCAAGTGGACAAAATACACCTATGTTTACATCAGTACATGAAGATGAGAACAAATGACTGTTTGAGGGTGGTGAGAATGAAAGTGGTGGTTATAGAGCATTTCCAACCTCAGCTTTTTCCAGCCAGTCCCTTTCCGTTAATCAAGTGATCGCACTAAGGCAGTTCACAACTAGAGTTAGTTGACAAAACTAAAAGACAAAATAGAAATTAGTGGGCATTGGTCCCTCTTCAGCTGCCCAGAGATTGAGGGAATGGGCAGCTGCATCCTAGACTTTGATCGGCCCAAGTTGAGCATTCCCCTTTCTTTTCTTGGTCACCCATCTTTCTGGGCAGAACGAAGACCAGCTGCTGGGACCTGCCTCATCTCACCAAGCTCCCACTGGCATGTCTTCCTTTCCTGAAGACTCGATGGGAGGAGACTAGACTTTCTTCACTATTTCTGCCTCCCATTACTACAACAGCTGCACACAGGAGAGGCAGAGCTGTGGGGAAGGGCCTTGTTGTGCCTTCATCTCGATCCAGGCCTGGATAATTCTTCTGGCATTAATTACTAAACTCAGAGTAAGTGAACATTTACTCTGGAAATGAACTTCACACTTATTAGAAGATGGTCAAGAGACTGTCCTAAAGGTTTGTTAACAGTGCAGCTGACCTTTGAAAAATACAGAAGAACTTCATGGTGTGGATGTTTGTTTATTTTCAGAGCATAGTTCTTAATGTGTGTTTTGAAATGCAGGTGAATTCTGAAATAATATTCAAGTATAATAGTAAAATCAAAGAGCACACCCTACCCCTGCTGTTCCATCCTTCCTATCAGGAGCAGGTCATTGGAAAGGTATTGAATAGTGTCTTTCAGGGACTCTGGCTTTCTGTCCTCAGAATAAATTCTAGTGGTTGCCAGTCCCTCTTTGGTACTTTAATAATGATCGTTCCTTCTAGGTGCCGCCCAAATTTCATTTCTTCTATAAGGCCAATCTGTGTTGATTGAGCCCATCTCTCAGTTCCTATAAAAATTATCTCCCCTATTCCTTTGTATCATATAGACCCATGCAAGAATGTGTGTGTATGTGTGTGCATGTGTTTGTATTAAGCAGGTAGGAATTTTGTCTTCCCAAAGGAGTCATTATGTTTTGTGTGGCATGAGAAATTGAAGTTTGCACTTACTCTGGAAATGATCCAAGAGATTAAAGCAGTGAAACAAATTCATTTATTACACATTTTTGGTCTTCTAATGACCGATTCAGCTGTGTTTAAGTACATGTTGCACATGTTAAAAACATCTACTGTCACACACATAAATCAGGAAAAATAAATTTTTACTGGTTGCATTTCTTAAATATGTATACTTATTTTTGAAAGTTAAAAAAATAATTTCTGCCTGTAAGAAATGGACAGTATGAATATAATTCAGGTAATAAATTTACTGACAATATCAGTAAATTTAACTTTTATTTTGATAGTAGGGTAATATCTACATGTGCTTCTTTTCTGTTTAATTAGCTTATTTGAGAGGGATGTTCAATCAACTTAGTCCAGGTCTCTGACATGAGTTTAGAATACATACTGTCTATGAGTAGGAGAACCATTAGGAATATGCTCAAGATGAATTGGAAATGTGCTTGGATAGAAACACAGGAAAACTATCGAGTTTTTGATAATAGCAGTTTAAGCTAAAAGTAGGTAATTTCCAGCAGTTTATTCCGAACAGTAACAGACCTTTGCAAAACAGTCTATTTCACTTCTTTTTCTAATTTTTCTTTAAATAGGAGATTATGATAAAAATAATGATTAAGAACAAAGGGAATTATATCTGTGAAAGAATAGCTGTTCACAATAAAAACCAAAATGTGCTATTTAAAAGTTACTAAGTATTGTAAAGATTAATTTAGTTTTTTTGTTTGTTTCCTTTCCCTCATCATTTCAGTGCCATAGGTAAAAATAATGACTTTTAGAAATGATATTTTACAAAATTCTAAATTTCCAGATTTCTTAGAGTGGAATGGGAAAAGTGCCTGACTTTTGCGTTTGGTTTAGGAAAGATTCTAATGGAGAAAACTCTGGATCCATTCTGTGAACTTCGGGGCCCGGGCATACACCCCTGGGCGATTAGGCAGTGCACACTGCTTTCCAAATGATGTCACACCAGCCAGGAGCCACCTGTTGTTTTCTTGGCACATTAACGGTCCTCCTGAATCCCCCTAAATAATAAATGACAGAAGAAAATTGTGTGTTTTCAATTGATATAAATATATGCAACTTATATTGCTTAATTGATTTGCATAATTAAAGGAGCTATGTTCTAAGTATTATGAAGGGATCTGTGGAAAAGAATTATTCTGCACTCTATGCTTTACAATAACTAAAAACTCACACATAAAGCTGAGTTTTGTTTTCTTGAGTAGCATTAACTTTTCAGCATTAGACAAACACAATCAGATTTGAATAAAACTTAACGTTTCAACAGAATGAAGCAAATCTATGAAGTAATTTCTAGTGATAGGTGCACATGTTTTCATCTTAGATTTCAATCAATGAAATGTTTTTAATTTTCATAAGCATTAATTATAACAGATCCTAGTAGAGTAAATCTCATAGATTTTATTTGCACATGTGTAATGCAAATGAACATAATATAAGCATATAGTAGCATTAATGACAAAGTTGACAAGTATTTTTTTCATTTTAATTCTGTAAAAGAGTTTAAATTAACCTGCCTTTTTATATATTTAAGTAGGAACTTAAAGCTTGTGCATTTTGTTTGAAATCACTGATACCATAAATTATTTCAATCCAGGCTCAGTGTTATATTTAAGGGAAAAAAATGGGTCTATAAAAGCACCTTTTCTCTCTTGAGCGCAGAGGAGCATAAATGCATTGGCAAACATAGGTTATCTCTATTCTAGATGTAACAAATGTGGGCAAGCTGTTTGAAAATAGGGAATTCAGTTTTCATTTTTGCATCTTAAGCCTTTAAGCATACTAAGTCCATAATAGGGGCTCAGAAATATTTATGGAACACTATCAGTCCAAGGTAGAAATAAATGTAGACTCAATATATGACTAGAAATTATTAAAAATAAACCTCAACTGTTTTTGTTATATATATATTTTAAAAGTCATTGGGTTTTCTTAAATAATTTAATTTTGTAAATAGACAGCAGAAACCAGATACTGATTACATGAGCAAGGATTTTAAGTTACCCAGGTCATACTGGGTCAGCTGCAGTTACTCAAAGGATCCACCAGTAGGCTTAGTGCCCAACTGCTGGGTGGTCTGTCTGGTTGAAGGACTGATATCTAATTCTGTCCCTTCCCATCTTATATAATAAAAGGCTACTATGCAAATTGACTGAACAGTGGAACGACCGATCACTGTGATGCGCACTGACCACCAGGGGGCAGACGCTCAATGCAAGAACCGCCTCTTGGTGGTCAGTGCACTTTCACAAGGGGAGCACCTCTCAGCCAGAAGGCCTGAACTGGGCTCATAGCTGGGAGCCTCTCCTGCCTCCACAGCAGCGCTAAGGATGTCCTACTGCCAGTTGTCAGTTGGATATTCCCCCAAGGGCTTCCAGACTGGGAGAGGGCGCAGGCCAGGCTGAGGGATACCCCCTTAGTGCACAAATTGTATGCATCGGGCCTCTAGTCTTCTAATAACTCATTTCTCCTT